CCTCCACCCTATCTCCCGCCGCTTACCCTCCCTGCCTTAACACTCCCTAGCGGCCACCGCCCTTCCCTGACTGCCCTGACCCAACCCTACCCCGCCTAACGAAGTAGATCAAGGGCTCCAGCGCAGTCGCAGCCTTGCACCATCCTCACCGCCCTTGCTGCCCTGACTGCCCTGACCCCCCGCTTTTTGTTCTTGAAGTAGATTCAAGGCGGCACCCTCACGAGCCTTGCCATCCTGTGCCAAGCCCTGACCCCCTGCCCCCTACCCTGCCTGACCCCACCCCCGCAACCTTACCCCTTCCACCCTGCCCTCACCCCCACCCCCAGACCCTACATCTTTGGTGGGCAGGCCCGGCGTGACTCAACTTGTTTCCGGCCCACATGTTCCGCAGAAATCTTTACAAGGGGAAACAATCAAGTCCAAATTCAGGGTTGCCTTTCTTGCAGAAGCAACGCATCTGAAAACAAGGCTGCCTTGTTACGCTAGCTGCGCATCTGTTTTTGACACTGCACCCCGCTACGTGGACGGCCAGGTCAAGTTCACATGGAGCCCAGGCGAAGATGCCGACAGAACGACCTATTGAACCCCCACCTGGGGCCCATCTGCCGAAGACATGGAGAAAAACAAGCTGAAGGAACTGCACCCTGTCTTAGACAAATATGGCCAAAAACAGTCTCCCCCCCCCCCCCCCCGCAACGCCAGAAAAAACGCTTCCTGGCAAAAGGACCCGCCTGCCGAAGATGTGGGAAAAAAATGGCCACCATTTCCCCCTGCAGTGCCCCGCCAAAAAGCTGTAAGACAACTGCAGGCCCGGCCTGCCCACCGAAGACGTGGGGAAAAAAACAGTTTCGGTCAATAAAATGGGCCACCAAACCGAACAAAAAAAACCCACCAAAGAGCTGCGCAAGCACAACCTTAAGGACAGGAAGTCCACCCAATAACGCTACCAGAACCACCAAGAGGAAAAGCACGTTCACCAAAACAACTGGCTTGCCCAACTAAGACAAGTAGGTTGGGAAACCAAAGCCAAGACACATAGGTTGGGTAAACAACATGTACTTCCACGTTCTGTTTGCGCAGCAGACACAATGCTTTCGCTTGCCAAAGCTCCTCGTGTCGGCTCTATTCAGCCCTCAATCTTATTAACTTAGATAGTTGTGCTAATGAATCAATGTAGCTACTCAGCTAATCTTCCTCACGGAAACGTAATCTGCGCTTCAACACGGGTATGTCAATAAGCAAGCCGAAACCACAGTATCTACGGTGTTTTCTGAGTTTTTAGAGGCTTCAACCGCTTCCGATGTGCCGGGATGCACGCTTTTTTGGGGTGGCTGGAACCCACCAAAAAATGTCGGAGTATCGTTGTAAGCGAACATTAAGCCGATACGCGCCGGGGTCGTCATTTGGACCCTCGTGGACGTACCAAAAAATGCGTCCAGGAGCCGAAACTAGGTGGGGTCTAGCCCGCTGTTCACGATCAATATTGCACTTGTTTGGACCCGGACGTTGGCTTCCCAACTGGGTCGGCGGCACTTGCCGCCAGTGCCGCCGAGGGCTGGTTGAGGGAAAAGGGCAGTGAGGGCGATCTGGGAGCCATAAGAAAACAGTCATATGGGGGTAGGAAGGGCGTGGCAGGGTAGAGTAGGCTAAGGGGAAGGGCTGGGGGGTTGAAGGTAGGGGGTCGCATGTCTCCTCCCTTCATGCTCATATAGGGTTAGGGTGTTTGTCTCCTCAACCGCCGCCCACACTGCCCACACCGCCCCTGCCCGCACCGCCCACGCGGCAGCCCCCCGCCCTGGCCTCCCCTTGCCCAGTCCCCAGTTCTTGCCCACTGTTTTGCAGGCTGACATGGATTTGAGAGGGAACTTCCTGCTCTCTCCCATCCCCCCCCAACTCTTTTACCTCCAGAGCCTTCGATGCCCTCGACAAACCCTACGAGCACGAAGGGAGGGGTCATGCGACAAACCTCTGGGGCCCTCGACCCTGCGAGCCCCACAGTCCTTATGGGGTGGGGGGTCGAGAGGGGTGTTCGTAGGGATTGGTGAGGGTTTAGAGGTTTGTCCCCTCCCTTCGTGGTTGTAAGGTTTGGTGAGGGGTGGAGGTTTGTCGCATGTCCCCTCCCTTCGTGCTCGTGGGTTTGGTTAGGGCCCAAAAGGACTGTCAAATGTCCCCTCCCTTCATCCTCCCCGTGTTTGTAGGGCTTGGAGAGGGCACTACAGGTTCGTCGCACGTCCCTTCGTGCTCGTTGGGGCGGTGGGAAGCGGTGGGGGTTTGAAGCTGCGCTGGGGGGGCTCGCTGGCTTCCCCCCCCCCACCGCCCCCATCGCCCTTTTTCAGAATCCGTCCGCTTCCCCCCCACACCCCTTAACCGCCGACCCCTTTGCTTGCCCCCCCTTACCCCTGCCCTTTTCCGATTGTCCTGACGCCCTTCGTCTACAGCTCAATGCCCCCAGCAGCCCGTAACATACATGGTTTCGTTTGCCGTTCCGAGATTTGCTATTTTTTCTTGAATTTCCCTGGCCCAAAATTAATTCAATAAAAGAAATGGATTACCGAACTACTTTACTTAACTAAGTAAAAGCCACAAATCTAACAGCTTAACTATTGAGATTATGCTTAATCTCAATACGTACATAAGTGAAGTTAGTCTCTTCACGTTTCGGTCTAAGTATACATTCTTTGCAGAGATCTATGAAATTAATGCGCTTGTAAATAAGGCTGCTTTTGCCCCATGCGCACCCATTGTTTCTTTGAAGGGAAGATCGTAGTTGCTCTGTCTGCTTGAGAGTCGTGATAACTCCACTGAAATTTCCTATGGAGTTCTCGGCCATCAGGACATGAGACTCCACTTGATGAAGATCCCGCAACTAACTTCGACTGTCGCCCAAGCTTCCGATTAAGAGCTGCTTTACACAGAAGTGGAATCTCTGTGTACAAATGGGGCTGCTACAGAAAGGCAAAGCAAGGCTCGCACCTTTCTCGGATGTGAAACAAATTCTACATACAAACAGCCAAGACTGCTGGGAAATTCACTGGGAAGGATTTCGTGGCAACATTATTACTCCTTAAAGAGCTGCATCTCAAAACTAACGCGTTGGTTCTGAGATGTTTCTGGTGTTTGCAGTTCAATCAAAACTCAATCCTTGTCTGAGAGCAATCGTGGCTGGGCCTTGGCTTCACTGGAGTTGCTGCTTCAACCATGAAAACATTGCATGTTGACACGTCGTTGACATCACAAGTCTAAGATTGAAGCCCTCGATCCTTTCCTTCACCGCCCCCTTCAGTCTGGACCTGTTTGCTGTGCGAAACCTTGGGGAAGATGCAGTTTGCCAGTGTTTAGTATCTACTGGCTGTCTGGGCTCCCTGTTGCAAGACTTTGTGGTATGGTCCTGGGGCAAGATCGTAAGCTGTAGATGCTATGCGATGAGAGTGCAGGCCTTGGGATACTGGAAACGCTCTTGATGCTGCATGCCTGTTGGCAAATGCTCAACAAATAGATGACAGGTTTACTGGACTTACTTTGTGCAGTGCATGCGCATGCCACGCGATGACATCTGACTCCTTCGGACAGAGAAGTCATCTCCAGGCCGGACTCTGAGACTCTGGGTTGACTACATTTCGGCGAGGCGGGCCGGCGAATGTGGATGAACTCATATGCCATGCAGGGACGGACTGAGATCCTGCAGCAATCGTTCCGACATGTTGTGCCTGCTGATTCCCCGATTTGAAGTCATGAATGCCGGACGGGATCGGACTGAGAAGCTGCAGCCCCGCAGTCTTGGCACGTTTCAAGAAACTAGGCACAACAGTGCTGGGAACACGTGCAACAGGAACTGCAGCTCGTTCTGTGGCATCTGCTCAGCAATAGGTTCAATGGGTCTTAGGCTTAACTAGGCTGTCCACCCATGGGGCGCAGTAACACGTCAGCCTTGCATGTGAATGCGCAGCGTCTGAAAGAAAGGCAACCCTGTATTTAGACTTGATTGCTTGCCCTGGTAAAGACTCTTCCGGAACACGTGGGCCGAAAACAAATCGAGTCACGCCAGATGTGGACAAAAAAACCCACAATTCATTTATCCAACGGGGCCCTTTTGCCTAATCATCACCTGCGTTCGCAAGTATCTCACAGCTTTCAACATAACGAAAGTTAAATATTTTGATATATTTTGTATCATGGTCAAAAACATTGTCTTGCATGTACTTTTCTTCTCGCAGGAGGGTGTCATAGGGGCAAGGAGGGTGTCATAGGGGCAAATTGGGGCAAATATCCCACATATTCGGCAGGCGCGCCCCGCCCGTGGGAAGCACTGCTTTCTTCGGGCAGGAGGGTGAAAATTGGGTCGATTGAGCGACCAGCCAATGAACGCTCGGGGGCGGCAACAAAACGGATGCACGCATCAACCAAACTTGTCAGAGTACACAACCCAGAAGTCTTGGTTGTGGCGATTGCAACAGGTGAGGTTGGGTCAGTTTAGGTCAGGATCTGTGTGTTTCAGAAAGTACGTCAGGTTAGGTCAGGCTAGTTCAGGTTCGGTCGGGTTAAGCTACGTTGGGCTTTATGTTGCCCAGCCCGATTTGGGGGAACTGCTACCAATTCAAGGTCAGGTTAGGTCGGGTTAGGCTACATTGGGTTTCTGGTCTAGGAGGTCATGTTGGCCAGCCCTCTTTGGGTCACCCATCCCAGACACTGGCAGGCTTGCGATCAAGCAAAGGCCCTGTTCCACCCCCCTTCCGCCCTTCTCTTGGCACTCCTCACACAATGGGTTTACGGTTTAGGGTTTAGGGTTTAGGGTTTAGTTTCAGCAGTCACGTGCCTGCCCTTGCTTTCATGCTTGGAAACCACGATACATCCCTCGGGTAAGGCGACTGTGACCTTTGCCTTCCGCATCAATACAGCTCATGCTGCATTTTGGGAGTCAGCATTCCATGAAGATTCCCGAGTTGCAATATGCAAAGAAGCTGCGCGCGCGATTCCGAACAAGGACCTCAGACCCAGTGGAGTCAGATGGTCTGCTGAGATTCAATAAAGTTGCTGAAGCACTCATCTAAACCGGTATTCGCGGACTTTGCAACAGCATGGCCAGGACTAAAGGGGTGGGGACTGAAGGGGCGGGGGAAGGAAAGAATCGAGGACCACTGCAACACCTTGCCCGGACACCACGCAGGCTCCAGGGTATCGTGCAACCAATGACCAGGACTGAAGGGACGGGGGAAGGAAAGAATCGAGGACCACTGCGTCAACACCTTGCCCGGACACCACGCAGGCTCCAGGGTATCGTGCAACCAATGACCAGGACTGAAGGGACGGGGGAAGGAAAGAATCGAGGACCGCTGCGTCAGCACCTTGCCCGGACACCACGCAGGCTCCAGGGTTTCGTGCAGCACAATGACCAGGACTGAAGGGGCCGAGAAGGAAAGAATCGAGGACCACTTCGTCAACACCTTGCCCGGACACCACACAGGCTCCAGGGTTTCGTGCAACACAAGGACCAGGACTGAAGGGGCGGGGAAGGAAAGAATCGAGGACCACTGCGTCAACACCTTGCCCGGACACCATGCAGTGCAACACAATGACCAGGACTGAAGGGGCAAGGAAAGAATCGAGGACCACTGCGTCAACACCTTGCCCGGACACCACGCAGGCTCCAGGGTTTCGTGCAACACAATGACCAGGACTGAAGGGGCGGGGAAGGAAAGAATCGAGGACCACTGCGTCAACACCTTGCCCGGACACCAGTGCAACACAATGACCAAGACTGAAGGGGCGGGGAAGGAAAGAATCGAGGACCACTGCGTCAACACCTTGCCCGGACACCACGCAGGCTCCAGGGTTTCGTGCAACACAATGACCAGGACCGAAGGGGCGGGGAAGGAAAGAATCGAGGACCACTGCGTCAACACCTTGCCCGGACACCACGCAGGCTCCAGGGTTTCGTGCAACACAATGACCAGGACTGAGGGTGCGGGAAAGAAAGAATCGAGGACCACTGCGTCAACATCTTGCCCGGACACCACGCAGGCTCCAGGGTTTCGTGCAACACAATGACCAGGACTGAACGGGCGGGGAAGGAAAGAATCGAGGACCACTGCGTCAACACCTTGCCCGGACACCACGCAGGCTCCAGAGTTTCGTGCAACACAATGACCAGGACTGAAGGGGCGGGGAAGGAAAGAATCGAGGACCACTGCGTCAACACCTTGCCCGGACACCACGCAGGCTCCAGGGTTTCGTGCAACACAATGACCAGGACTGAAGGGGCGGGGAAGGAAAGAATCGAGGACCACTGCGTCAACACCTTGCCCGGACACCACGCAGGCTCCAGGGTTTCGTGCAACACAATGACCAGGACTGAAGGGGCGGGGAAGGAAAGAATCGAGGACCACTGCGTCAACACCTTGCCCGGACACCACGCAAACTCCAGGGTTTCGTGCAGCACAATGACCAGGACTGAAGGGGCGGGGGAAGCAAAGAATCGAGGACCACTGCGTCAACATCTTGCCCGGACACCACGCAGGCTCCAGGGTTTCGTGCAACACAATGACCAGGACTGAAGGGGCAAGGAAAGAATCGAGGACCACTGCGTCAACACCTTGCCCGGACACCACGCAGGCTCCAGGGTTTCGTGCAACACAATGACCAGGACTGAAGGGGCGGGAGAAGGAAAGAATCCAGGACCACTGCGTCAACACCTTGCCCGGACACCACGCAGGCTCCAGGGTTTCGTGCAACACAATGACCAGGGCTGAAGGGGCGGGAAGGAAAGAATCGAGGACCACTTCGTCAACACCTTGCCCGGACACCACACAGGCTCCAGGGTTTCGTGCAACACAAGGACCAGGACTGAAGGGGCGGGGAAGGAAAGAATCGAGGACCACTGCGTCAACACCTTGCCCGGACACCACGCAGGCTCCAGGGTTTCGTGCAACACCATGACCAGGACTGCAGGGGCGGGGAAGGAAAGAATCGAGGGAACTACTCATCATCATGACTCATCGCTTCAGATCGCTTCTCGGTCTCGGCAGTCTTTTGCAGGTACCTTTGAGAACTCGCTCAGCTTAGATCCCGGCAGATTTTGCAATTAACGCCCACTCACTAGGGATCGCTTGCAGCGCGGATCCAATCTCGGCAAGGGTCATTGCAGTGCAGACGTGGCGGTTTTTGACTTGGTGTCTGGGCCTCCTGCAGCCCTCCGGATGGATTCTGGATCTGTAGCTACTTCGCTCGCGACTGGCGCCAATCTCGTCGCCCAACGAGACTTGCCTCCAGTTGTGCAGACACAGACACAAACGATAAAACTTTTTGGCGGCCAGAGCTTAAGGCCCCAACTATCCATGCCTTCCGTCAGAGCCTTGTAACGTTCGTCACACTCTTTCAACGGAACCCTGTGTAGAGTCACTGCGCTCTCGCGGCTGTCTCAATTGATTCTGAGTCTAGCCTCGCTGGCAGCAAGCATGTCCTGGCAGAGTGCCGGTGCACATGCACGCCAAGGCAGGAAAGCTCGGCACAGAGCCGCACACACATTTTTCGAACTTGGACTTCCAAACCTTGCTGCGAAAGAACATGTTCCAGAGCACTGGGAGTTCAGAATTTGCGAGCTAGATATATCGGATCTCGAAAAGAACATCAACATGAAAAGAACAAAAGTCAACATGTTAAGGCAACGGTCAAGATGCTGCAGGGCAAGGACCACTGTAAGCAACAGGGAACCGCTCACCTAGATACTGTACTTCGCTGCCACAGACACTGGAAACCAAGAGCACACATTTCCTGTGGTGCAGCGGGAGACAAGGGCGCACAGACCCATTGTTTACTTGATCACCTCCGTTCAATCTTGTTCCCTATCACCTGTCACCGGCCATAGGCACATAGCTACAGTCAGTGTTATGCATTGATGCTGTTGCGGCGAAACATGTTGCAACCCAACCCCTTCACCCCGGCTCTCCTTCAGAAACAGCCTTGTCTTCGCTGGTGAGAAGGCTTGCGGGGTCTCAGGAGCCCCTTATGCAGAAAGCAGAACTGAAGCTGCATGTAACTCTGAAGCACCCGTCATCATCCATGCCCTCTCCACGCACGGCTACCTGCAACCTCAGACTCGCGTGCAGCCTGGAGCATCTTGAAGCCATTGATTGGCCGTTCTGACACTAAGTGATGCCCCGCTTGCTTAAGCCCAGAACCGCGCTTCGAAGGAAGGCGGGAGGCTCCTGTCACCACAAGGGTGGGATCGACACCGACGCAATCTGATCTTCAGACAGCTTCAGACAGCTTCACTGTGTCTGTTCACAACATGTTCTGGCACCTCCAGCTGCTGTGGAATGGGTTCCTTCCCCGGATCAGCAGCCTGCAATCAGCGTTCAGTTTTTCAATGTCTTCGGCCCGGTCTGCCACTGGCCCAGAGCTGGCATCCTCAAGTTTAACTTTTGCCTGCGCCCTCGAAACCCAGGCACTTGAGCGGTAAAGTAAGCCTCGGAACTGAAGAGGGCACGATTGCGTGACTGCTGTGCCTTCGCCAGCGATCCGGCGGAAAGCTGCATGTCCTTGCCCCAGTGCTGAGAAACGGGATTCGTGTCAGAGGCCGTGCTGCCCAGGTCTTCAATTTGTGTTGCAAGCAGCCTGGCCTCTTTTCTCACGAGAAACAAAATAAATAAACAAGCCATAAGAGTATTTGTGTTACTATCCTTGCACAGTTTGTCTTGCATTGCAGTTGTAAATGACACATTGTATAGATAATATAGTGCATTGTCGTGATTACAATTGCACTTTTGTGTCACAGTGCACACCAATGATGTCATGTATTGGAGCCGCGCTCCACATGATGCTCATCGACTCATCGATGTCCAACACGACAAGTCTTTATCAGAACTCCGACAAAGGGACTGCGGACTGCGGCCTGTCGCTTGTCGAGGTCCAAACAGGTTCCGGGTACGTTTACGGGGAAACCCAGCTGGGCCCGAGAACGTTCGAGAAGAGGCCCTAAACCCTCAACCCTACAAACCCGAAAACCCTTCACACGCAACTAGCTTCAGAGCCACCCTTGCCCTGGAAGAGAGGGGAATAAAGCGTCGTCGCGCCCAAGACACGGAACCGGACGCAGCCCACCTACACTTACACCCTACAAGCCCCATGCAAAAGAGCTCAAACCCCAACAAAAGAATTGCGAAATCTGCGAATATCTGCGAACCCAACGGCCTTCGGCCAGTGGAAGAAGGCACAGGGAGGAAGGTCACAGAGAGGCTTTTTCGGGTCCAAACTTACGGTTTGGGGTTTAGCCTTTGGGTTCAGGGGAAGTCTCCAGAAAAATGAAATATTTGCTTGTCTGCGAGGGCTAGCGTCTAAGAAACAAGCTCTGGGGTGTTGAGACGAAAGGCTCTCTGGGGAGAGCTTTCGTGACTTATCAACAACTTCCACGTCTAGCGAACGGCCACTTGCGCCAACACACTGTAGGCATCTCTCTACATCACTGCAGTGTCAACCTAATCAGGTCGGATTCCTGAGCCTGCGAGAACTGCACACGGGCGCTGCGCTCATGGGCTGATATACACCCGCCACCACGATACCACGATGTCGTTTCGGGCAGAGGTCTACCTACAGAGCATTTCCACAACAGACAGTCTTTCGGCGAGGGGGCGCGCAACACGCAGCTCCGGCAATCATCTTCTTTGGATCCCGGAGTACTCAGAGCAGGCAGAGCGAGCTCTCCAAGAACAGCTGCTGTCCTCGAAACACAAGGCCGGAAATCATTTCTCAAGCATAATGGGCCAAGGATGCGGGATGCGAGAACAGGTTGACAACATTGCCGGATTGCAGCTGAACACCTCTAAAATGAACAAAAGCAAGCAGCTTAACCCCACCGGCTCAAGAGAAGACTTCGACCATCTTCCCAACCATCGCCTCAACCCGAGCACATGACATGGCTACGCAAATCATCGCAGACCTGCACCTGTATACTCACATCTCACATAAACCGCTTCCAAACAATAAGCCCGACCCGTTTGCCAGCTCAGGCCTCGATTTGGATCGTTGTCATGCCGAAACTCCTCTTTATGGCCTCAACCATGCCGCGAGTCACTGCAGCGTCTCAGCCCCACCCTGCCCCACTTGGCCTGCAGTAGGAGCACTGTCTCTCTGGCAGTGGGTGCCACCAGCCAAACTCTTCCATTTTGACCCACGCAGAGCTCATAGGAGAAGTCCTGAATGCACCAGTGCTCACGGCATGCAACGACCTGGGTAGCCTTGGAACGGATTCCTCTCGTGGCTTAAGCAATTTCGGGGTCCTTGCCAAGCCGATCAAGGATGAAGCAGTCGATAGCTGCCGTCACGTACGTTTATGCACTCACATACTCCACTCCACCTCCCCCTAAGCTCTCAGTCCATGAAGCATTGCAGCTTCACTTGCAGGTCTGACCTAGAAGACGCTGCGCTGCAGTCAGAGCTACCTGCAAGATGCGACACGCATGGCATAGAAACTCCTCCACTGTCAGAGCCATGACCCTTGAATCTGCGCATGTGTCCCTGGCTACAGCTGCAGCATGCAAACGTTAAAGAATAGGTGAGAATAGCATCTCTTCCCTGTAGTATTCGCCTCAGCTTCCTGCCGAGAAGCGTCTGGAACAAGCAGACCCGGATCGGGCCTCCTTCCCCCTAACCCAAACGTGGGACCCCCCCCCGATGGCTTGGGGCAGCTGCAAACCGATGCTGTGGGGCGTCCCGCCTGTCTGCGGCTCCTATCCAAGTCAGCTTTTTTTGGGAACCCCCTATAACCGTCATCCAGGACCCTCTGTGGGACTCCCTGGGACCCCCTGGCACCCCCCCGCCCCCTGCGACCCCCCTGGCACACCTGAAACCCTTGCACCCCGCCCCCCTGCAACCTCCCGCTAAAACTGGTGTGAGACCCCCAACCCCAACCCCTTTTTTGAGGCCTTTCCCACAAACCCTCTTTCCTCCTTTCCTGTCCGTGGGGCGGCGCGCGCAAGCGTTTACAATTAACCACCCCAAATGCAAGCAGAACACCTGCCCCTTCCGGCCTAAACGGGCTTTAACATTACGTATGACCGTATGAGAGTCTCTGCAGGTTCCAGCAGGATTTCCAAGTTTGATTGTCAATGGCGTCTGGCATATTTGGGTTTGCACTTTTTGGATGTTGGCTGTTTGCATTTTTGATGAGTATGTGTTTTTTTGTGTTTTGGCTTTCCAACAACTTTGGGTTTTTGTGTTTGCTTTGAGTGTTGGCGTTGCGTTTTTGTGCTTTGGTTCATGTCGTGTTGGATCTCTTTGGTGTGGTATCGCTGTTCTAAAAATGCAAAAGCCGATCGGAGCCAAGCGCACCACCAAAAAAAAACACAAAAAACAACACGCAAAAATGCAAAAACAAAAAAGCAACAAACAGACGAAGTAACAATCAAAAAATGCACAGGCTTCGAGCGAGAGCTCAATTTCTGGAATTTCGAGCTTCCGGGATCCTCCGCGGCGACTTTTGCATTTTTTGCATTTTTGCATTTTTGGCATTTTTGCATTTTGCTTTACACTTTGCGGTTCGCTTCGAATCGGCTTTTGCATGTTTTTGCGTTCTTTTTGCATTTCGGGAAGCCACTCCCCACATCTCCTCCTTTCCCCTCACACCTCTCTGTGATCTGACAGACAGACAGCGTATGACAGCGTCATAATCTCAGGTGCAGACCCCATCCCTGGTGCATAGAGTTCAGAGCAGGGCACCCCGTGAGAGCGCAACCAAAACTATCAACAAAATGCCAGCCATCCAAGAAATTTCAGAAAACGACAATCAAAATGCCAGGCATTGGCATGAAAGAAATGCACAACAAAGACTAACGAAATGCATGCGATCTTACAGATGCAACGAACAAAAAAAACACCCACCCGCCCACCCACCCACGCACCCACCCACCCGCACACACACACACACACACATACACATACACACGCCCACACAGAGACACAGAGACTCAGAGACACAGAGACACAGAGACACAGAGACACAGGGACGCAGAGACGCAGAGACGCAGAGACACAGAGACACAGAGACACACACACACACACACAGAGACACAGAGACACAGAGACACAGAGACACAGAGACACAGAGACACAGAGACACAGAGACACACAGAGACACACAGAGACACACAGAGACACAGAGACACAGAGAGACACAGAGAGACACAGAGACACAGAGACACAGAGACACAGAGACACAGAGACACAGAGACACAGAGACACAGAGACACAGAGACACAGAGACACAGAGACACAGAGACACAGAGACACAGAGATGCAGAGACACAGAGAATCACAGAGATATAGAGACACGGAGACACAGAGACACGGAGACACAGAGACACAGAGACACAGAGACGCTGAGACATACACACACACACAATGACAAGCACAATTTGCAACAGCTACCCAGTCTGTGGCCCCGAGATTCTCGAGTTTTTGTTAAGGGGAGTACGCTTGGGAAAGCCTCAGCACGGCCAATTCATCAGCCTCCTCCGCCGTCCATATACTTGAACTGAACTCGACCCCCCTCCCGAACTGCCCTAACTTCGATAACTGCGATGGGGCTCTAAAAGTTGGGCGGCCCGAGTGTGCGTATTAGGGCAACGACGTGATTATACGGGTGCTGCAATGAAAACTAAATCAGCACATTGTTGAAAAGTGCTTCGAATCGGAATTTTGGGATTTGGGGATGTACTAATGGCCAACTTGGGTGGATCTCGTGCAGCACTCGCGCCTCAAAGCTCAGACCTCCCTTCAGCTCTCCAAGCAGCACCTCTGCATGGCGGGGAGACATGGGAACATGGAACAAAACTGTGCACCAACGGCATCCGCCTCGCCGGTGTTCCACGACCTCCAGGTTGTAGGAATATGGTGCGGCATCCGGCTGAACTCACGTCTTTCACAAAATCTGGCAAAGGCCAGGCTCCCCGACTTTTTCGTGTCTGGGTCTACACATGACAGCTCGGTGTCCAAATCCGGATGCGCTGCCTGACAGACAAATGCGTACCAGATGTGAGATGGCCACTCCAATTTCTCTATGCCTCCACCCTTGCGTACACAAGCATGCCGATCCTGGAGCCAGTACAAACCCATATCACATGCATGAGCAAACATGAAATGCACTTCTTCGGCCGAGCTTCTCCAGGAGAGGCCGATTTCTCTTTGTTGCACCGTTCCACCTTCAACAAAACAGGCACATCAACGAGTAGTCAACACCACACACCAAGAAATGGCCCACGCGAGCGTGGGAAGAAAGGCTGGTGAAGGTGCACGTATCTCAACCTCAACGGTGCCACAATTGCACGATGTGAACCGCCAATGCTGCTCAAGCTCTATAATTACTTTGGCCTTGTAAAAGTCTGCATTGCGCGATACTATGATGCCAACGATGTGATCTCCCTGCTGCGAGCATGCATATGCAGCATGCAAAAGAAAAGAGAGGCCAGCTCTGACATGTCTGAACATCATTGGGTCGAAGTCGGGTCGCTTGGCCACTTAGCCTGCCTTGCGCGGAATGTATCTCTTCCGCAGGTTCTCCACACAGACCTCTTCCTCCAAAGTCCTATGCAATATTCCATTGATTGCTCAACGAGGGTACGGTAGTTGTAAAAAGTTAGTATTATTTTGATGTGTGCAACCTTGCACAAGTAGCCTGTGCCTCAGCACTCCTGCCGCCGTGGCGAATGCTCGCCCACTGTCTGCATCAAGTGCCACTCCAAGACCTCATCAATGCTCTTAGGGCAAATAAATAACTCACAGTACCCTGTCCTACAGCCAGAAACCTCACTGTTCTAGGGACCTTGGCCTGGCAGGGAGCCAGGTTGCAATGGTACTTCATCACCAGGCAAGCAAAGCCTCTGTCAAAGCTTCGCGGCTGATACTACCCCGAAACACCCCGTCTCTGCACACGCAAGCCAAGGTAGCGTCGCCATGGTATGTGGATTGACCGAGCTCTGATCGGTGTGGGAACTTATCTGACTAGGAAAAGGCTCTGAGTGTCTGTCTGTTGTGGAGACCATGCTACATGATGTTGCTAGCAGCGCGGCGTGTCAAACAAAGTTGTCCACCATGTACAGTAGGCACTGTTGGTATGGAGCCAACTGCTTACGACATGCCGCGCATGAGCGGTGTAAAATCCGGAGGGCTTGTTGCGCTCCATTGGGGGGTGATGGCGATTGCTCATATGTGCCTGTCTCCAATCAACAAAGACGCACGCTGTGTGTGTGTGAGAGGGTGCGTGAGGGTGCGTGAGGGTGCGTGCGGGCGCGTGCGGGTGGAGCGTGCGTGCGTGGGTGGGTGTGGGTGGGTGTGTGTGGGTGTGTGTGGGTGTGTGTGGGTGTGTGTGGGTGTGTGTGGGTGTGTGTGGGTGTGTGTGGGTGTGTGTGGGTGTGTGTGGGTGTGTGTGGGTGTGTGTGGGTGTGTGTGGGTGTGTGTGGGTGGTGTGTGGGTGTGTGTGGGTGTGTGTGTGTGTGTGGGTGTGGGTGTGTGTGTGTGTGTGGGTGTGTGTGGGTGTGTGTGGGTGTGTGTGGGTGTGTGTGGGTGTGTGTGGGTGTGTGTGGGTGTGTGTGGGTGTGTGTGGGTGTGTGTGGGTGTGTGTGGGTGTGTGTGGGTGTGTGTGGGTGTGTGTGTGTGTGTGTGGGTGTGTGTGGGTGTGTGTGGGTGTG